ACAGCCCTGCCTGTCACCCTGCCTGTCACCCTGCCTGTCACCCCAGCACGGCCCAGCAGGGCCCAGCATGGCCCAGCATGACCCGGCATGGCTTGGAATGGCTTGGCATGGCATGGCTCAGCTTGGCTCAGCACAGCATGGTGCATCGTGGCAGGGCTTGGCACAGCTTGGCGTGACATGGCTCAGCATGGCATGGCCTTGGGATGGCACAGCATGGCTTGGCATGGCATGGCATGACTTGGAATGCTGTGGAATGGCATGGCTCAGCATGGCATGGGTCAGCAAGGTTCAGCATGGCATGGCATGCCTTGGAATGGCATGGAATGACACAGCTTGGCATGGCATGGAATGGCATGGCTCAGCAAGGTTCAGCATGGCATGGCATGCCTTGGAATGGCGTGGAATGGCACAGCTTGGCATGGCTCAGCATGGCATGGCATGGATCAGCAAGGCTTGGCATGGCATGCCTTGGAATGGTGTGTAATGGCTCTGCTTGGCAACCCAGCATGGCCCGGCATGGCTTGGAATGGCTTGGCATGGCATGGCTCAGCTTGGCTCAGCACGGCATGGTGCATCGTGGCAGGGCTTGGCACAGCTTGGCGTGACATGGCTCAGCATGGCATGGCCTTGGGATGGCACAGCATGGCTTGGCATGGCATGGCATGACTTGGAATGCTGTGGAATGGCATGGCTCAGCATGGCATGGGTCAGCAAGGTTCAGCATGGCATGGCATGCCTTGGAATGGCATGGAATGACACAGCTTGGCATGGCATGGAATGGCATGGCTCAGCAAGGTTCAGCATGGCATGGCATGCCTTGGAATGGCGTGGAATGGCACAGCTTGGCATGGCTCAGCATGGCATGGCATGGATCAGCAAGGCTTGGCATGGCATGCCTTGGAATGGTGTGTAATGGCTCTACTTGGCAAGGCTCAGCAAGGCTCAGCATGGCATGGCATGCCTTGGAATGGCATGAAATGGCATGGAATGGCATGGAATGGCTCAGCAAGACTTGGCATGGCATGTCTTGGAATGGCATGGCATGGCTCAGCATGGCACGGCAAGCCTTGGCACACCTCAGGTGGAATGGCACAGCTTGGCATGGCTCAGCATGGCATGGCATGGATCAGCAAGGCTTGGCATGGCATGCCTTGGAATGGTGTGTAATGGCTCTACTTGGCAAGGCTCAGCAAGGCTCAGCATGGCATGGCATGCCTTGGAATGGCATGAAATGGCATGGAATGGCATGGAATGGCTCAGCAAGACTTGGCATGGCATGTCTTGGAATGGCTCAGCAAGGCTTGGCATGGCATGGCACGCCTTGGAATGGCATGGAATGGCACGGCTTGGCATGGCTCAGCATGGCATGCCAAGCCTTGGCGCACCTCAAAACAGCTCAGCACGGCTTGGCATGGCACGGCATGGCTCGGCACGGCGAGGGGTGCCTTGGCACAGCTTGGCACAGCTTGGCACGGCTTGGCACGGCTCTGCACAGCCCCCCTACCTGTCCAGCACCAGCTCCTCCAGCTTGTGCAGGTCGCAGGCGATGTACTCCAGGGCCATGTCGGTGATGCGGGGGCACCAGGACAGGTCGAGGCTGCGCAGCTTCCGCAGGTTCTCGGCCACCAGCTCCACCCCGTCGTCCGTCACCTTGGAGCAGCCGGACAGGCTGAGCACGCTCAGGTTGGGCAGGCTGTGCACCATGTTGACCACGCCGTGGTTGGTGATCTCCCAGCAGGAGTTGAGGCGCAGGGTGTGGGTGGTGTAGCCCTGCTTGGCGGTGAAATAGGCCAGGGCGGTGTCGGTGACGTGGTAGGCCTGGAGGTTGAGCTCGGCCAGGTTGGGCAGGAGCTGGGAGATGGCGGCGATGGCGTCGTCGGCCACGTTGATGCAGTCGCTGACGCTCAGGGAGGTGATGCGGGCGTTGAGGCTGGACCACAGCCCCGCCTCCGTGAAGTCGTTGCAGCCCGACAGCTCCAG